CTCTACTGTCTCCCTAGAGCCTGATGGGCTCTTCATCTGTGGCCTCTGCCTTCTTTTCTAAATACACTGTGACTGTGGATGCCTTACACCTTGACTCTTCTGTACATACGAAAGCTATTTCCCACCACTCTGTCTTTTGCAAACATTTTCTCTGCCCTCCATAGTGCCTGACCATTGCCTCTTCCAGCCTGCCAGCTCCTGGCACATTCTTATTCTTCTCTTAGGAAGCTTACTACTATGTAATGAAAAATATCCTTTAAAGGAGAAATATATGAGCCAGTATATTCAGTAGACTCAATTTACAGAAAATTCACGTGTTTTTTTGGGGCCCTTACTATTGGTCAAGTACTTGGTAAAGCATGAGGGATCTAAAGATGAGTGAGACATGCTCTCCAACTGAAAGAAACTCAAGGTCAGAGTACAAGCTCAACAAGTGAGCAGAGTTACAATACAGCACATGTCAAAAGTACTAAAAACAGAACTAAGTAAAAATGGCACAAAGGAGAGAACGCTAAGCTGCACCTGAGATGTTCTTCACAGAGGCGGCACTCAAGCTGGTGTTCAGGGAAAGTACAGCTCATCGTGCTAACAACGATGGGGAAGGACATCCCATGCAAACCACAGCCTTCAGTGTGAGTAAGCAGGAAGTATAACGTGTAAGCGATTTAGACTCCACTAGAAGTAAGCCAAGGAGGTAAAATTTGGGTTTTACCACGCAGATGACAGTGTATCACTTAAAGTTTTATAGGGAAATGACAACATTGTATTTTAGAACAATCTCTGCCAGCCATGTGGATGATAAACTAAAGAAAACCTGACTAGAAACAGAGATTTGACTATTTTAATAGCTTAAGAAAATGATTTTAAGGGTCTACCAAGGTAGTGGTGTGGGAACAGAATACAGGGATACATGTAAGAGATTATTTAGGAGATAATATTTAGTTTTACAGGCAAGGAAGGAATCTTGGGTGTCTTCTAGTTTCCTGGCTTTAGCAACTAATCAGGAATGGTACCTTTCAGAAGGAAAGTGAAAAAAGGGTAAACATCAACATTAGACATGAGCTGGAGGTTCCTGTCAGAAACCCAAACACAGATGTCCATAAGCAGGTAGTCAAACATGATGGACTCAGGAGAAGGCTTGGGGCTGGAGACACTCAGATTTGGGATCTTAGTGAGGAAAGTGGCTAGAGCAGAAGCCAAGGGGCAATGTAAAGTGAGAATGGCAGCCAAAAGATGGCTTTAGGGTCCAAGATGGGACTTAGCAATTAAGACTGAAAAGAAAGAACAGAGGTCAAAGGACATCGAGGAGTTGCCTGGTAGCATAGAAATATCGAGGACTCAACAGTGTCTAGCATTGTAAGAGATACAGTAAGAAAGAAGAAAAGTCCATTGTTCTGGAAGGCTGTGACTCTACTGAGTAACAGTTTAGTGGACTCTGGGGGTAAGGGAGGGAAGTGGAAAGCAAGTTCCTCTACTATTAATCCGAAATAATACATCTACAAACTTCTCATCAAACTGGAAGGAAAATCAGATGGTTATACATACAATTGTCAAAATTCAAATGAAAAAAATATTACTCCGCTGCTATGGGCTGGTTTTGGCTCAAAGTCACGACTACAAAACCTCACAAAGCTAACCATTTCAACTTGTGAGTAAATCATGACTTGCAGCAAGTCCAAGGCTAAGTGGATAAGTAACAGGTTACTCTCTTGAGATGCTAACACATAAGGACAGAGATATGAACATGTATACAGGTTGTGGAAAGCTCATAGGGAGAGTTTCAAAAAAAAGAACAAAGAGTAACAACTCATAGAACATGGCTTCCGGGAAGGCAGGAAGGGAAAAGATAAACAGGAAAAAAATGCTTAGCTCCAAGCTACAGGCACCTATTCCAGCGACTGGTGTGGGGGGTAAAGTCAATCTGTAGCAGTGGGCTCTGTGCTGAGGGAGTTCAAGGCTCATCTATCTCTGTAATTCACCCCTACTCCAACGGGTAACACACAAATAGTGACTATGTGAGAAGAGGGGAAAGAAACACAACCAAGGCGGGAGGTTACTCTACAAATCACTTTCTTCTGATTACACTATGTAAGGCCTATCTGTAGGCCCCCACAGTGCACAATTTGCAGAGTGGTGGTAAAAAGTTCAGGTATTTCCAGACTCAACAGAACAAGTTGGTGGCACAAGAACAAGTCAGCCTTTTGGCCAGTGGAGATGCGGGTTAGCCTGACACGAACGGGTATGAAGACACTTGGATAAGACGCCTAGTCCTCCATAAGATTTTGCTCTTGTATCTCACCTCAGCTCCAGTTCCTTCTTCACATAGTCTGTGCTCCTAATCCAATTTAATTGCTGCTTACCATCTATTTTGTGGTCTGACCATTGAGCATTAATCATTAAAGTGTCTTCATGTTTATTTTTTTAGAGACAGGGTCTCGATATGCAGTTCAGCTGGCATTGAATTCATGGTGATCCATTTCCTCAGCCTCCCAACTACTGAGGTTACCAGAGGTCAGCACCATGCCCAGCAGAGCGACTTCACGTTGAAGCTTAGAATTGCACATCCTTTAAGGTTCAGCCTCTCTCACAAATCATCTGAAATTTATTTCATTTTCATAGTCTACCTCCAAATCCAAATTCCAAAATCTGATGACTTTTAAGTTGTAGGTGACCAGATTTTTTTTTTTTGCCAGAAGTTGAAAATTTCAATTAGCTGGAAACATTTAAATACAGAGAGATTTTATATAAAAAGTCAGCGTTTCAGCTTCACATGAGAAACTCAGAAGGCGCAGTAACAGTGGCCACCTGTTCCTTCACAGTTAACAGTCAGTGGAGTTAAACAGCAACATCGCCTTTCCAGCGCCCTGTACTCCACTTGCAGCTCCCAAAGCCCAAACAAGGAGCTGCTGGGAAGTGTCAGTTTTCAGTGAGTTTCTACTGCCAGCCCGGCCACTGTAGCCATTTAAGTCTGTGAACTGCGCATAAGAAAGTAAACTACATGAGGCAGAGACCTTGTTTATCTCGTATTCTTCTGTAATCTGAGGGCCTGGCTTAAAAGTTATTTTTTAAATGAATATTTATTCCGAAATAATACATCTATAAACTTCTCATCAAACTGGAAGGGAAATCAGATGATTATACATACAATTGTCAAAATTCAAATGAAAAAAGTATTACTCCACTGCTATGGGCTGGTTTTGGCTCAAAGCCAAGACTATGAAACCTCACAAAGCTAACC